TTCCTGCTGCAGTGAAGCTGACTTATCAAGATGCAGTAAACTTGCAGGTAAGAGCATCCAAAACTTTTGTGGATAAAATTTCAATACTGTTGGGTTTCTCTAGATACAGTTGAGTTTCTTTAGATACAGTCATAGAATTGTGGAGGTTGGAAGGGACCTCTGGAGATCATCTAGTCCAGCTCCCCCTCAAAGAAGAGTTAGCTAGAGCTGGTTGCTTAGGGCCAGGTCCAGTCAAGTTTTGAAAATCTCCAAGGAGGGATACTCTACAACCTCTCAGGGCAACCTATTCCAGTGTTTGACCACCCTGACAATAAAAAAAAGGCTTTTTTATGTTTAAATGGGATTTCCTGTATTTCAATTTGTGCCCATAACCTCTTTTCCTTTCATTGGTCCCACTGAGAAGAGTCTGATTCTGTCTCCTCTGCTTCCTCTCTTCAGATAATGAATCAATAAGGTGCTCCTGAGTCTGTTTCTTGAGGTTAAACAATCCCAGCTCTCAGCCTCTCCTAGTGAGAGATGCTGTAAGATGAAGTAGCTGTAGTTACCAGTTGCATCAGATTGTTCCTACATCATGCATATGCTTTCTAAAGTCTTTCAAAAAAGGAATTTCTGTTGATTTTTTTCAACCAAGTCTGACTGTTAATGTTTTATAATTTTTTCAATTGAAGTTTGACTGCTTTGGATAGGATAGTGAACTATCTCTTGCCCAGTTTTTTGAACTGAACTGCTGAATCTATAATAAGAACACTAGCGAGGGCCAAACAATTAAAAAAGACGGTAAACGATTTCCAAAAGGTAGTGTCCCCCATCCTGTATTTCAAGAAAAGATCATCTTTAACCTGTTACTTGCACATTTTTTGTGGTACGGTGCACTTGACTGTCACCATATGTATGCGTATGTACCGTTTGACTGTACCGTTTGAATGCGTATGTAAAATGGATCTTTAGGGAAATTACTTGAAATAGAAGACTGGTGTCTGGCATGTATAGGAAGAAACAAATGAAAGACAACACAGAATGAACTTAAGTGTTTATAAAATATATGTAGAACTTGGCTGTAATATTAGTGCATAGAGGGGAAATAATCTGGAGATGTGAATTAGCAGCCTGAATTTAGTACAAAAATTTCTGTTCTGGAGATTCTTAGTGCGGATAATATTTTCTCTGCTGGCTAGAGATGTTTTGCAAAGGTTAACTTTTTGCTATTTTAGTCTACAGAAGAGAGCTGTCCAGTTGAGGCGGAAAGTATTTGTATTAGCCTATGAAAGCTTGAGAGCTGAACGTTTATTTGGATATAGAAATGGAGTTGCGAGAGCATTCTCTTAGTTTAATGGATACGAGAATATCTTTGAAAGGGGAGGGATGTTTTTGAAAACCAGAATTTGGAGGAATAAAGAAGCCAGACTGATGTTAGATCAAACAAATAGATCAGTGGAGTCAGGAAATGGTACGAGTAGCAGCCTACAGAGCCTGTACTGGGAACAAGAGAAGGGAGAAGCTGAAACAGGAGGAGAGTTGTGTATGCGTAGTTCTTTGTGTGGATCTTAACTTTGTCCTCCTCATTGAATAAGTTGCTAAGTGGCAAAAGATGGTGAAGGATCTGTATGGTGAGCACTGTAACAGCACGAGGGCTGTTAAAGCTACAGAAAGTCAGGATTTGGACCAAAATCTCCGAAATATGTACACCTAGGAGGTCCTGTGTGGTCATAAGGTGAGGAGCAGAAGACATCTTCAAAAGGAAGAAGGATGACGAGAATGCTTTAGAGACACCAAGGTAGTAAATGATGAGAGCTGCACACCCCTATGGCAAATAATCTCTCTTGGTAGAACTGTTGGGAAGTTAATTTATAGGTTGCTATTGAATGTGGTTTTACAGCCCCTTTGTCAAGAATTGGACTTAGCCATGGTGGAGCTTGTATTGCGATTAAATTCTTGTCACCTAGTTTTATTGTGTGCCTAATTCATTACATCTCATTTTCTATAGAACTATGTAGAAGAAAAGCTTATTCCCACTTGGAATTGGATGGTTAGTATCATGGACTCTACAGAAGCTCAGCTGCGCTATGGTTCTGCATTAGCATCTGCTGGTGACCCTGGGCATCCGAATCATCCTCTCCATGCATCTCAGAACTCGGCCAGAAGGGAGAGGATGACTGCCCGTGAGGAAGCTAGCCTGAGAACGCTTGAGGGGAGAAGGTATGAAAACAGTTAGATTGTTGCATGTGATATGAATTACTAGCTTTACAAGCAAATCCTTTCGTTCACTGATGTTTTGGGAATTTAATTGTGAAATACAGCAGTGTAGTAGTTGTGATTTAAGATGGATTCCTCTGTTATTGCTACTGTTTGATTTACTCTGAAGTACTAGCTTTATCTTGAGTGTTAACTGTTTCTATTATTAGCACTTGAGCTGTTTATATACAGTAAAGCTTAAAACCATAATTGTTGTTCTTGTTATCACACTGCTTTTCTGTTTTTGAGTTTTCACATCCGTATTTGAAACACACAGACAGATAGGTAAAAAGATTTGGTGCCTGATCTCTCTGTATTCAATTCTTTCCTTTCGCTAGACGTGCTACTTTACTCAGTGCCCGTCAGGGAATGATGTCAGCACGTGGTGATTTCCTGAACTATGCGCTGTCTTTGATGCGTTCTCACAATGATGAGCACTCAGATGTTCTTCCTGTTCTAGATGTCTGTTCACTAAAGCATGTAGCATACGTTTTTCAAGCCCTTATTTATTGGATTAAAGCAATGAATCAACAGACAACGTTGGATACTCCTCAGCTGGAACGGAAAAGGTATTGAGGCTGACTCACAGAAACAAACCATTTTGTGAAAAGTTGCATAAGCCTTTTGTTTCACATGCTTGAGTTGTTATGCAGCTACTCGTATATGTTTGAAGACTGTTAGGCCAATTGCAGCGTCCCATTCAAATCTTGTCCTGGTGACTGCTGTAAAAGATTTTCTTATCACTGAAACTTAAGTTTGATTTTTAATTCATGACAGCACCTCTAAAAGATTTACTAGAGACAATTTATCAGCCCCAAAATACAATCTGCTCATCATATTTAATGTAATAATGACTAAGTAAGTGTTTTGTCAAACATGCTAAGAACGAAATGAGAGAATTCTTAAATTTGGTATAAGGGGCACAGGAGTTCTATTTTCTGTTTAGTTGCGGGTACTTCAGACTTGCCCAGTTATTTACTGTGCAGTAGGGAAATCAGTAGCTGAAAAAGCCATCAAGTTGAACATCTATCCTATTTGAACTGTAGCGTTTTACAAAAACATACAAAAGAGTAATGACTAGCAGTCCTCAGTTTTAATTCCATGCTTACCGAGCTGTGTAAGCTTTCCTCGTGTAGCACAGACTCAGCTTTCTGAGCTCACAGGTAGTGACCTTTGATTTGAAACAGCAGTTAATAATCACAGGAATGTCTGTACATTAGGAATCTACACCATCTGTTTCCGTTTCTTTTAAGTGTTGAGGTAGTATGCCTGAACAGTCCTTGTCAACAGTTAGGTAAAATGCAAATCTTTGCACCTTCCTGTTGTGAATTTTCAATATCACAGGTCATGCTTAACTTTTCCTTTTCTCTGCAAAGTTTGGTAACTGTGATATACATGGTATCAACATTTTAGAGATGTATTGGACTACTGATTTAGTTCCAATGTTATGTTAAAAGTATCTTAAGGCCTATTACAACTTCAAAAATGTGTAATCCTAATTTCAGAACATATTCCGGAATGCACAAACTTCCACAAATGTATACTAATCAAAGTTCTTGACCTGTTCTATAATACAATCAAATCCATTTCTTTAGTACACTTCTCAGAGTTATCTTTTGGACTGTGATCAGTGAAACTATTTCCTTCCTAGGATAAAGTGAATTCTACACCAGTGAACTCTAGAATAGTATTCTTCCCTAATTTGGGGTTCCTATTCTGTTTATATTGACATATTCTCTAAACAAACAAGCATACCCATCACTGTCTGAAGCTGTAACTTTTTTAGATAAAACTTGGAAGTAGATGTCTTTAGATGGCCATATAACTAGAGGCAATGGTAGGCGTGAGTCTGAAACGAGAAGTACTGTACAGCTTTGAAAGCCATGTCCCAGTGGAACATACCTAGTTGACAACCAGTGATTTCAGTGAGAGTTCTTGTTAGCTTATATAGCTCTCAGGTAACCTTACTGATTATACTGTTGCTTTTATCAATCAGTCTATTTACAAACTTTGTTTTACTTTGTTTTTAGAACTCGGGAACTTTTGGAACTGGGTCTTGACAATGAAGATTCAGAACATGAAAATGATGATGACACCAATCAAAGTTAGTGTGCTGAGATCTGACACTTTCTGTTTTTTCCTTTTAGCTGGCTGTGGTTTTGAATAAAATTTGCTACTTGTTTATGTTATGTTAATACAGTGAAAGAATGTGCTGTGCTTTTAAAGTTTGATTTTTAGTGAGACTTTCTTACCGTCCTTACTTCACCAAACATCTGTCTTTGCCTGTTCTCATTCTGGTGCTCTCTTTTTTGTCTCCTTTCTCTCAAAATTGCATAAGTTGTGCCGTAGCTTATTGGCCTGCACAATGACAGAGTTTAAATTTTGAATCTGAGTTGAACTGACTTTTGGTCTGCTGAGAATGGTAGAAAATATGCTCTGTAGAAAACATTAATTGTGTAGGATTGCACGTTCAGTAAACTTGAATAGTCATTCCTGTTACTGTATGGTTTGCCTAGCTTCAAATTAGGTTTCCAACATCTTTAGATATATTGCACAATTCAGATAACTGAGCTCTAGGAAATCTTGGAACATGTTCCAGATTTGTTACTGACTTTATTTTTTTGTGATCCTGAGGGTGGGGTGACCAATTTTCTGTTCATCCATTATATTCCATCCCCCCAAAAGATAAGGTCCCCGACTCTCCCCTGTTTATTTACTTCGTCTCTCATTTTACTCCTGTGTGTCAATTTTAATCAGCAGTCAGCACTGGAGGAGCACTGCTAAGGGAGAGTTGTCACTACAAAGCTGGTTACAATAAAAGGAATAAGGGTGACAACTTTTAAGAACTTAACTTTTAAGAACAGAGGATTCTTGGGAGCATCCTGTAGAACTGTTAAATTTTCTGAGAGAGATGGATAGCTAAGATGGAAGCTCCTTCATTTTTGATGTTTTAAATCCTTTGCTTTTATAACTGTAAGCGAAAACGAAAGTAAAAGCTGCTCTGATATTTAGGTGCTACGCTCAACGACAAGGATGATGACTCCCTCCCAGCAGAGACTGGCCAAAATCATCCATTTTTCCGACGGTCAGACTCCATGACGTTCCTTGGCTGCATTCCACCCAATCCTTTTGAGGTTCCTCTGGCGGAGGCCATCCCCCTAGCAGACCAGCCCCATCTGTTACAGGTGACATCAGAGATTGTGTTCTGGAAGATAATTCCTGTTTGCTTTTTCATTTCTAACTGAAGTATATTATTTACCCAGAATGCTTTTGTTAATTTTCAGCCAAATGCTCGCAAAGAAGATCTGTTTGGCCGACCAAGTCAGGGTCTATATTCGTCTTCTGCCAACAGTGGGAAATGCTTAGTGGAAGTGACAGTGGATAGAAACTGCCTTGAGGTAGATTTAAAGGTTTTGTTATTTTGAACAGTGGGGTTAACTTAAGCTACCTTCATCCCTTTGAAAATATTAAAGTATCTTTTTAAGAGAATCATGTTAAATATCTTTCGAAATGATAATTTGAGAGCGCAATAAATACAAAAACTTGGACTTGTTATGAAAAAGTATACTCTAGTTTTTAATTCATTTTAAATTTGTGGGACTCTTATGGTTACTGACTAATCTAGAATCTGATTTCAGGCAGTATTTTAAGGGCTGTAGTAGAATCTGCACTAATTGTGATATACCCATTATACTTGATTCTTTTTATGACAATTATATCCCCATGCCCAGTAGATTTGACTTGTCTTTAGACTGAACGTTAAATGGTGTGTATATGAAATGCAAACACAAAACAGGAATATTGTTTTGGGAAATTATTCTAAAACATTAAGATTATTGTGTTTTTACAAAGCAATTACAGGGCTTATATTTGTGTGGCTTGAAAATTGAATAGATCCTGGAAAAAAAAAAATGCAATTTTAAAATGCAATTAAATTTTACTTCTCATTGTTTAGGTTCTTCCAACTAAAATGTCTTATGCAGCCAATTTAAAAAATGTTATGAGTATGCAGAATCGACAAAAGAAGGAAGGGGAGGAACAAAACGTGCCTACAGAAGAATCTGAGAGTTCAAAGCCAGGGCCTTCAGCGCATGATCTTGCAGCGCAACTGAAAAGCAGCTTGTTAGCAGAGATTGGGCTAACAGAAAGCGAAGGGCCACCTCTCACATCTTTCAGGTAGCTGCAGTTCAAAATTATGCTTTTAAATATTGCTGAACTGATAGAAGGATGTTTGGGAATCTGAAAGGGTTTGGGGAGGATTAATTAAAATAGGTAGCTTCGTTTAGTTTGAATTTGTCACTGGTGTTTGATAGGTTTTAAACACTTGAATGGGCTTGAAAGAAGAAATTTTTGCAAACTATAGTAAGTCTTACTACCTAACTTCATGCTGCAGACAAACTTTGTGACTGATTGCTGAGGTGCTAAGTTAAGTGTTGGAATTGACAGCTTGCCACCTCTGTGTTTTGTGATAGTGACTGGTTTATGTAGTTCGGGACTGAACAGCTCTTACTTTGAATTAGAGCTTTTTTTTTTTTTTTTTTTAAATGAAGATCTTAATTGAATGGAACCTGATAATAGTGAATTCCATGTAGCAGTGAGGTTACATGCTTTTAGAAAAATTACTGTTTGGAAACAAGACTTGTGGTTCAGCTGATGCTAAGCAGCTTCATGTAAATTTTTTGTTGTTGTTTTCTTACTAGTATTGCTTACAGGCTTTGTCTACAAATTTATTATACGGTGATTATGTTGTTCTGTAATAGCATTTATGTAGATGACATGCCACTTACATCTGAGCACTTTAAAAAAAAAAAAAAGTTCAATTGTTTACGCTGTGTATACATATGTAAACTATAAAGGAGCGTTTTGGGAAGGGTAGGGAGGAGTGAACTTGCTAAAAATATTTCTTTTCTATATGTGAAAAGAAGCAGATTGTTCTCTGTAGATTAGACTTTCTTTGCTATTAATAGCTGTAAACTTCTAAACGACATTAAAAAAAAAAAAATACATGCAAGTAATTTGTATACAAGAGGCTTGAAATAGCTGACTAGGAAGATTTCTGGCCTGCTGATGTTTATCTGTAAATTTTGCAAAAAGAGAAATTCTAAAGTAGTCCTAATACTGTAATAATATTCCCTTTCAACCAGCTTTAGCTAATGTACATTTGACTTCTCTAGTTAAGAAAAATGGAAAAATAACTGTAATGATTCATTTGGAATGAATGGAAGGATAGAAAAATAACTCCAACCAGCCGGTTATTGCAAAAAGTAGACATTTAATTTCACAGAAAAAATCAAGTTAAAATAATTTGATTCCATAAAAGTTGCATGCCTATGTACATGTGAATAATTGAGGCTTTAGATCATCATTGCGCTCTGATTCAAAACATTTCATGCATGTTATAAAATAAAGTTTATGGAAAATATATAAATGCTGGCTATGCTTTTTGAATCTAAAACTTCCATTGAATGAAATTTATTCATAGCACTCCCCAGAAATGCTAAAAAGTAGTTTTTGATACCTGGAAATACAAAATCAATGCTGAAACTTGCAGATGGTAGAAGAACAAGCAAAATCCTGAATGAGTATCAAGAAAAGATAAGTAATCCAGATAGTAATATAGGAACAGGGAATTATGTTTCCAGGATTTGCAATAATAGCATAGTACTGAGAAGTACTGAGTTCCTGATAAGCTTTTAGGGTTCATGGTTGCTAAAAGGGACTAACGAAATGCAGTTCTGTGTACAAAGAAGGACACCAAGTAACAGGGTTTTTTTTCCCTCTCCCTTGGCGGAAAATGTGGGCTAGCTTATCTAGTTCTGATGCCTATGTTAGAAGAAGGCTAAATTGGGACAGTTAATTCATTTAAACTATTGAAAATACTGTCTGGATAAAATGTTTTACCAAGATGTGAGCTCAGTTTGCTTATTTTATTGGGGGGGAAAAAAAAATCCCCAAAGTGACTCGAGTATGTATTATGTAGAAATAGAACCTCCACTATGTATATGTAGAAAGGATTAAACTGGTAGCCTTTTTTTTTTTTTTTTGAGGTGTGTTTGTATGTTAAAAGGCAAATTAAGTTATCAGTGGTTCCTCTATATGCTAATGCTTAGTAAGCAAAAGTCATTTTAATTGACCAAACTCTATGGCCTTATAAGACTAAGGTCAGTTTACAAAATCTGATTAGTCTATTCCTTTTGTGTTAAGCTAAGTAGCCATCGACTAACACTGCAGTCTGTAGCTGGAAATGCTAGCTGTCTCTTAAGACAACTTATACTGAAATTCTTACAGTAATTTCCAGGTTTTATTATTTAAAGTCTATTATTTTATCAATATTGGTCAGTGATCTATAGAATATCTTAAACTAACATCTCTCTTAGTTTATATCCAACAAATTAACATTGGTGTCTGAGCTCTGCGCCTAGAAGTCCTGCATATTCCAGTTCCAAGTATGAGAAATAAGAGAACTTATTTTGAAGGCAGAGGGATAAGTAAAAGCAGAAGTACATAAAATGCGACTGAGATTTAACTTACTTTTTGCTTGTTTATCTTTTCCTCCCTCTGCCAGGCCACAATGTAGCTTCATGGGCATGGTTATATCTCACGACATGTTGTTGGGACGTTGGCGCCTTTCTTTAGAGTTGTTTGGTAGAGTGTTCATGGAAGATGTTGGAGCAGAGCCTGGATCGGTATGTATTTCCTAGTGTAAGGACAATGCTTTTGCAACTGAATTGTGAACCTCCGTCACTATTCTGGATTTTTTTACAATTTTATTTTTTGTTTTTTAAGATTTTGACTGAACTAGGTGGCTTTGAAGTAAAGGAATCAAAATTCCGCAGAGAGATGGAAAAGCTTAGAAACCAGCAGTCCAGGGATTTAACATTGGAGGTAAAAAATGTTAGTTTGTTTTCCAAATATGTTTTGATTAAAAGCTGAACTGACACACACTGCGTAACTTGATAGGAGAAGCTGTGTTTCAGAGTCTGCAAGCAGACGTTTTAAAGCTCACTGCATGAGCTGTATTGCAATTACACTATAGTTTTGCATACTCTAATTGACGTTTTCTGAGTCTGCGCAGAAGTTTCCAGCAACTTACTTGTGATTTCTTGTGAAGCTGAAATTTTTCTTTTCAGTGTGGTGATTGGTAAAGAGAGGAGAACCCTGAATTTTGTGTTTTCACTAGGTTGATCGAGACAGAGATCTTCTAATTCAGCAGACCATGAGGCAGCTCAACAATCATTTTGGTCGCAGGTGTGCTACCACTCCAATGGCTGTACACCGAGTAAAAGTTACTTTTAAGGATGAGCCCGGAGAAGGCAGCGGTGTAGCACGAAGCTTTTATACTGCCATTGCACAGGCTTTTCTGTCAAACGAGAAACTGCCAAATCTAGATTGTATTCAGAATGCCAACAAGGGTACCCATACAAGTAAGTGTTATATAGCAACTAATCTACAAATAGCCTTTGTTAAAGCCTTGGATGTTTTTTTCCATTGAAATACATGCAGTTGTTTGACTTCTGTGGATTCTCTTGTTAGATCAGCACAGGAATTAAGAAAATCTTATATGTTAGTTATCGGAGGCCAAAAATGGGCTGTTTTTTGTTCCTAGGAACAGGAGACTCTTGCTTTTCTCAGGACGGAAGTCTGCTTTAGATGTTCTTAGCTTTTTTGGAGACTCTTTCTCTCCGTACCTTACAGTAGATAGTAATTGTCTCATTTTTGCTAGGAAGTGCATACATTTAATATGACTACTCCATCTAGTCTGTCACAAATACATTTCAATCAATGCTGGTTTTGTGTGTGTATATAGACTTTGAAGGCTTCTGCCATTTTAAGTTTGTGCAAACGCTTTAGGTTCCTTTCATAAGCTTGACTGAACCCAAATCACTACTTAAAGCGAAGTGGTTCTGTCTCATTAGTATCTTTCAAGCTATCTTCTAAAAGGGTGTTCCCCTTGGTCTGGAATTTAGGTATGAGAGAGAAGTATAAAGGTGTTTAAGCTTCTGAGTTTTCTCCTCCTTCAGGTCTGATGCAGAGATTGCGAAATAGAGGGGAGAGAGATCGGGAAAGGGAGCGAGAGAGAGAAATGCGGAGAAGTAGTGGCTTACGAGCTGGTTCTCGGAGAGATAGGGATAGGTAAGTGACCTGTTTTTTAATTTATCAGAGAGATTTTGTCAAATAGCCTTGGTTATCTTCAGGAAAGATCCTTATATTTCCTAAATTAAAAGTACCACTCTTTATCACTTTCAAGAGCAAGTAACAGGGTAATTGAAATTCAAGATACACTTCAATTCTTTAAAGAAAAATTATGCTTATCTCAGCATTGACAGATTATGTCTCAACCATATGTCATAAATCTCTCCAGCTGAAACAACAGCAACAACTATTGTATTAGAGTTAAATTTTTGGGTGGTTTAGAAGCAACATTGCCGTTTCTGGTGGCATGTCTGGCTGCTGTATCCAAAATACTATTAGTGGCAAAATCTCTGGTCTATTTTGATTCTCTGTTTCTGAGTCATTCTCTCCAAGCAGCTATGAGAGACGCTACTACTCTAGCATAAAAGCTAATGCTATTTTGAATATGGGTGTGAACGGTCCTATTTCAGAGGATTTTTGCATATTTCCTTTGAATTTAGTATAAACTGCTGTAAATTTTTAAGGGACTTTAGAAGACAACTTTCCATTGACACACGGCCTTTTAGACCAGCATCAGAAGGAAATCCTAGTGATGACCCTGATCCTCTTCCAGCACACAGACAAGCCCTTGGAGAAAGGCTCTACCCTCGAGTACAAGCAATGCAGCCAGTAAGACTCATCTATGTAATATACTTAATTATATTTTGTTCTTGCCTTCTTTTCATTTAAAAATGATTTTTCTGTATCCATTGCTGTTTAATGTAAAATATTTGAATGTGTAGGGATGATGTGATGTCCTTTGGGATCTTCTTAACATTTCATTTCTGTAATTTGTCATTTAGCTGATGCGGTATCTCTTAACGCATTGCATATGGAAAGCTTTAATATTTTAAATAAGACTGTATTTGACAACTAAAGAGCTGGAGAAGAATAGTAAGACATTCAATTTCTTATCCCCAGGCTTTTGCAAGTAAAATCACAGGAATGTTGTTGGAATTGTCTCCTGCTCAGCTGCTTCTGTTACTAGCTAGTGAAGATTCCCTTAGAGCAAGAGTTGATGAAGCCATGGAACTCATTATTGCACATGGAAGGTAAAGTATTAAAGATTTTGATGAAAGATGAAAACTGGTATTGTGGCCAAGGCACTTGAACTGTGATATATTTGACTTTGACACATCTCACTTGTTCCTAGCTTTGTTCTAGACCTTTTTCTTTGGACAAATGGCTTGTTAACTTTGGCTCCCTGTTAGAAAAGCAGGGATGCACCTCTTTTCCACACCCTCTCCTTTTTTTTTCTTGATTGGGAAACAAGGGCTGCTGCCTAATCCTGATCAGAATTGTGACTGCGTTGACTACTGTGTACAAATATAAAATCAAAATCCTAATGGACTTGAAAATCCAAATGAGCAAAAACTGCCCTTACAACTCAAACTACAATACTTGCGTACTTATGTAGTTATTGTGATTAAGGAACATAAAGCATATGCACCTAAAGGAATATGATTCCTCAATTATTATGATATGTAAGATCCAGAAATTGAACTTAAATATATTTAAGTGAATTCGTCTGCTTCCAGAATATGACCATTGCTTACTGTGAAATTAAATCTTTTTTTTTTCTCCCTCCCCGCCCTCCTTCCTCTATCAAGGGAGAATGGTGCTGACAGTATATTGGATCTTGGTTTACTAGACTCTTCAGATAAAGTGCAGGTAAGGAATTCTTTCACCAACTGAAAGTTACTCTAAGATTCAATTGTACCAGTTAGTTTAAAAAAAAAAAAAAAAAGGAACCAACTAGAGCCTTATTTGATCATGCAAGACAGAGTTTTGCTTAGTTATCCCAATAAAGATACTGTTGTTTTTTTATTATTTATTAGTTACACAAAATTATAAAATGTTATCATTAGGAAATCTAATGGAACTTTTTAGCTAAAGAAAGTTGAATCTTTGGATCTAGTGGCAAAGAACTTGCTGATGTTGCTCAGTAATTAGAAGTAAGTTTGATTGCTCTTTTGACTTTTGAAATAGGAAAATAGAAAGCGACATGGTTCGAGCCGCAGTGTAGTAGATATGGAATTAGATGATACAGATGATGGGGACGATAATGCACCACTTTTCTACCAACCTGGAAAACGAGGTTTTTATACACCAAGACCTGGTAAAAACACAGAAGCAAGGCTGAATTGTTTCAGAAACATTGGCAGGTATGTTATTAACTTACTATTCTGAAAAAATATAAAAGACTAAAATATAAAATGCCAGGGAGAGTACCAGAGATCCAAGTTGAAAAATTTTATTTACTCCTTATATATTCTGTATTTCTCACCTGGAGCTGTGTAGTAGGGAATTTTTATACATCTGCTTGAGGTTTCTCTTCCTGTTAAATTTTCAGTTTATCTTGTTCACGATCTGGAAGTTTACAATCTGGAACTTTTGTAGTGTAGGAAATGATCTTTGGAAGTGGATTTGAGGAAAAAATTGCTTGTTTACTTCTGTCTTACTGATTGGGGAAGGAAAAGAGAATTACCAGTTTTCCTTGACAAATGATGTTGTGGATAAGACTGTACTGTGAAATGACGTATGACAGCAATTCACTTTTGGGGATTTATGGGGCGGGAAAATAAACTGCAGTTTACTTTTTGGAATATTCTGATTATTTTTTTAAAGAAAGTTTGCTAAAAGATCTCCAGTGTAATTTATGTTATAGCAAAACAAAAACCGAACCTTTATTTTCAGAATCCTAGGGTTGTGCTTGTTGCAGAATGAACTATGTCCCATCACGTTAAATAGACATGTAATCAAAGTTCTTCTTGGAAGAAAAGTAAGTTGAACATAGAAATCTGAATTTCCTTTAATTATATACAATTTCATCTTAACTGCATTTTGTTTTTTCAGAGTGAATTTGTTGACTAGTGGGGTTGGTCTGGAGCTGTCAGGATGCCTTTAAATTAGGAAATTTTCATTTTTTTCACTTCTTAGATTTTAAGAATAAGAAGTGAACTGCATAGATCCCCTGGAAGTGTTGTAATAGGTTAGCCTTTGATTCTCCTCAGAAACAGCCTACTGCTTTTTTTTTTTTTTTTTTTTCCTCCTCTCCTCCCTTCCTGAGACTGAAGTCTCGGAGAGGTAGTATTAGACAGTACTAGGAGATACATCTTAGCTTACTCAGAGGCACTTTCCTCAGTATTTGAGAGAGCTCATTGAATTAAATTGTAATTGAATTTTATCTCAGGTGTGGGTTATGATTACTCTGAGTTAAATTATGCCTACATTTTCAGCCAAAACACTTCAGTAGGTTTTGTGGGTTTTTTTTCTCCTAAATGCTGATTATGTAGTACACGTTTCAGGCATTAGTCAATAGCATCATGAATTCTGTCTGATAAACAGACTTAAACCTAGGTTTGTTATTGCTGGCCCTTTGTTAAAAACAATGCTGGTCACATAGTCACTTATCTAACTTATGTATGATCTTTAATGAAAAGAGATTAATGACGAAAAGGTATGCCTTCACATATCCCCTGGTATCTTTCAGAAGAGATTCTGCCTGCTTGCTTTCTTTCAGAATTTTCTTCTTGAATGAATATTATATACATATATATATATTCCTTGCATTTAAATTTTGGGTACATCAAAGAACGTTTTGGTTGGAAAGGAATGGATAGCTTTCCCTTCTGTCTGATAATGGACATAGGAACAAGGAACTTTAGAAAACAGCAACAAGTAGTCTTTGGCTAAGTCTTGGAAGCTGTAACGTGCAGCTTATGGGCCCTCAGTCTTCAAACACGTACTGCTGTTGAATGTTTAAATTGGGGAGGAAAATTTTTTCATTGATTTGGAGCACTGATGCAAATTATTTCCGGCTTCGGTCAAAGTTCATCAAACCTGTACTGATGTAAGTGATATGTAGGAGAAACTGTCCAAAAACCCTGTTCAGTTTCTTTATGAGCTCTGTGCCCTTCATAGCAGAAAAGGCTTTGCAGGTCTCTCTGTTCTGCTAATGCACTTCAGTCCAGTATTCTGGTTATGAACCTTCAAAAGCAGGCTGAAAACAGGAGTTTGGCTGCCATTATTTCCAAGTGTTTATGTGCTTCCATTACGTGTGTAATGCTATGGCTTGTACTAGTGTATGTATTAGGCAGATTCATGTTATTTTGAATAAATTCTTCAACAAGTGGTATATTTCAAACATCTGTGGTTTTTTAGGTGAACTGGCATGATTTTGCTTTTTTTGATCCGGTTATGTATGAAAGCCTTCGGCAACTTATCCTCGCTTCCCAGAGTACAGATGCTGATGCAGTGTTCGCTGCTATGGATTTAGCATTTGCAATAGACCTGTGTAAGGAGGAGGGTGGAGGGCAGGTAAGTAGAGCTAAGCTTGTCTCTGTAGTTTCGGAGTTTGACAACTTAAGCATGTGGCAGTATGCACGTAATCCAGGCTGTTCTGTGGCGCCAAAGCTAGCGTTCTACCCTTTCTACATTCAAAGTGAGGAGTTTTCTTTAGCCGTTGATGTGCGGGATGTTTTTCTCCAAATGTAATGTAGAGCCAGCCATAAAGCTTGGACAGATCCTAAAGAGTCTCTAAAGCTAACCAATAGTAGTAGCAGTAATTTTTGCCTCTTTTTAGAGTGAAAAAAGCATTATTAAGTTATAAATCACTGTTCAACATATCATATATCATGTCTTGTAATAATCTCGTTTACTCATTGCTTTTTTTTTTTCTTTTAAAATGGTTCTTGTTACTTTGCCATAGGTTGAACTTATCTCCAATGGTGTAAATATACCAGTCACTCCTCAGAATGTTTATGAATATGTCCGGAAATATGCCGAACACCGAATGTTGGTAGTAGCAGAACAGCCTCTACATGTAAGTCTTTGATTTAAAACCAAACAACCCTGCACCCCGACAAAGATTCCAATCTCTGTAATTGTTTTCCTCATGATGGTATTGCTAATCAGGTTCCTTTTGAAGTCTGACGGCCTGGTTAAAAAGACTTCCTAATGTCCTAACTTTTTTGTGATTGTACAGCTGTTTATGCAATACTATGAAGAAAAGCACTTGAATAAATTCTCTGTTTTGTAGAATGAAAGATTACTTCTTTTAAACTCAATCTCGTTGATAAAGTACATATGTTCATTTCTTGAGCTTAAATAGGCATCCTCTGGGGATTTTTGTATTGCATTTAGCAGCTACTTTGTTCTACTTTGTCACCTTTGACTTTTTCAAACTTTATTTATAAAGATAAAGAATTTCAAGGTGATTTATGTAAATATTCTGGAACTGCTGCCTTGATTGTACCTTTGCTTTAAAAGAAAAAATCAGTTGTTATGCATACAATTTTGTTATTATTTTTACTACATACATTTCTTGTCAGAAATGTAACATTACACTGTAAAAATTATATTACAAGGAATTTGCTTTTTGAAGCCATTTTTAAGTGAAAATTATGGAATAAGATTTTTTTTGTGCTTAGCGTGTAAAAGACCAATGCTTAAACCTGCTTACTGTGCTCTCAGATTTCTCTGTCGTACGATACTATGTTGAAACTGGGTCATTTTTGCTGACCTTGGTTTCCTGCTGTGGTTGAGTAATGGTAACATGCATGTGAGATGCATTTTTGTAGTTCTAGTCAGATGCAGTGTAGTCAGATGCAGTGTAGTCAGATGCAGTGTAGTCAGATGCAGTGTAGTCAGATGCAGTGTAGTCAGATGCAGTGTAGTCAGATGCAGTGTAGTCAGATGCAGTGTAGTCAGATGCAGTGTAGTCAGATGCAGTGTAGTCAGATGCAACTCAGCAACGTATCTGAACTTTTCAGCAATAAAGTGCATTTGTTTCTGCTCCTGTTGGTAGAATATAAATTCAAACTGTTACTGCTTTCTTTTGTGTGTGCCTAGTACTAGCCTATGACTTAACACAGTATTTTTAATGCATTTAAGATTAATCTGAAAGTGATGCGGCTACAATGTAGATCTTGTGGTTTTTATTTAAGGCAATGAGGAAAGGTCTCCTGGATGTACTTCCAAAGAATTCATTAGAAGATTTAACAGCAGAAGATTTCAGACTTCTGGTAAATGGCTGTGGTGAAGTAAATGTGCAAATGCTAATCAGCTTTACCTCTTTCAATGATGAGTCAGGTATGAAATAACTTACTCATTTAGAAACCGAGTTGCAAAGATAACCTAACGCTATAGTCTGTTGGGTAGAGTAACCAGCACTAAACGGTCTCCAAGTTGACTTCACTTAACGACTCATTGAAAGTCATAATAAAGTTCTTGCTGTGTTTTTTAGATACCTTTGAAAATATTTACTCTCAGATGGGGGCGGGGGCAGGGTGCATATGAGAAAACACACTTTCCAACTTTGGTGTCATTTGACATTAAATACAAGGATTGTGTTACTGGTAGTGTGTCTTTCCTTCTGAAAGTTCTAACCTATAGAACTGTAGAACTATAAATATGATTGAAATATGATTAAATAATTTTTAAACTACTTTTAGCTGTCATTAGACTCTTGGGGTAAGGAGGGGGTGGGATTTGTCCTGATACATGTCGGAATTGGCCTTTGCATTCAAAAATGTTTGTATTAGTTATATTGGAGACCAAACTAATTCTATCAAGCTTTAAGAAGAAGAGGGATTGTAGCTGAGATCCAACGTAAAGTAAATGTAAAAAAACAGATCTCCAAATATTTGTTGTCCAGTGTACCAGCTGAAGGTATATGTATTTTCATTTCACGCAGGAGAAAATGCTGAGAAGCTTTTGCAGTTCAAGCGTTGGTTTTGGTCCATAGTTGAGAAGATGAGTATGACAGAAAGACAAGATCTAGTAAGTTGTTCTTTCACGGTGGAAACGTGCAGAAGAACTGGAATTGCTTTTATATCATTACTGTTCTAATTGTGTTTACATACAGAGACTTTATATGTGAAGGGTAAAGTGACAGAGTAGGGAAGTTGTAATTGATGAGACTTTCATTTCTGGAAACATGAGATACGAATCCTAGAGATGCTTGCAGCTGAAAGTGTGTGGTGTGTCCTCACCCGAATGCACAAATCTCTTGCAGATTACAGATGCTTACGGTCTCAGCAGAGTAGTTCTCCTCCTTCCTTCTCAAGGCACTGTAGCAAAAGCTGATGAGAAGCATAAAAGAGCAAGATACTGTTCAGGGGATTTTATTCCTTTGCTAAAAGGAAACGAGGACTAATCTGATCTGAAAAGCAGAAAATCTAGAGCATATGTCTTAAGGCATATCTGTGGTTACACTTTGGTAGTGATTCTGCAAGTCAGTATTTCACATTTGAGACACCAAAATATTTTCCAGTGCTGACTTCTGTCTGTACAAGTAGTATATGTTCTGCAGTCATTGACTGTTGGCAGTTACCCTCTTCCCAGATGACCTGAGGATGTCACAATTTACTGAGGATTTCTTGATGTGGGATCATTTTGAGTTCTGCTTTTATTGTTTTTGATAGAAATAGGTAATATAATCAGCAGCTGAGGAAAGGAAATCTGTTACAAAAGCATGTAGCATGACCACTGAATTTAGCTGGCCTATCAAAAGGACTGTATGATCAAACATACTGTGACTATTCTGTACCATTCTTCTTTCACCCATGCCACAATGGCGATCTGTATGCAATGTGAATTTTTATGATCCTGAAAAATTTTAAATCCGATCTTCTTTTTTCAGGTTTACTTTTGGACATCAAGTCCATCATTGCCTGCCAGTGAGGAGGGATTCCAACCTATGCCATCAATCACAATAAGACCTCCAGATGACCAACATCTTCCTACAGCAAACACTTGCATTTCTCGCCTTTATGTCCCGCTCTATTCCTCTAAGCAGATTTTGAAACAGAAATTGTTACTCGCCATTAAGACCAAGAATTTTGGTTTTGTGTAGAGTATAAAAAAGTGTGTATTGCTGTGTAATATTACTAGCTAAGTTTTGTAGATTTTTCCATTTGTCTATAAAAGTTTATGAAAGTTAATGCTGTCATACCCCTGGTGGTACTTTAAAGAGTAAATGCAAACATTCCTGTACTAAATTTGTAACGTAAAGGCCTAAGGAGCGCTAGCGATCCTGATTGTAACAGTTTGCTAGTCAATAACTCCTTGGCCTAACCCCAGCCAAAGATGACAGCAGAACTATATAATTTACACTGTGATTTATCTTTTTGCTGAGGGAAAATATGTAAAATGTTCTGAAAATTCACTGCTGCCTTTGTGGAAAGTGTTTCAGCAAAGGTTCTTGTATAGAGGGAGTAGGGAATTTCGAAATAAAAAATTAAGTATGTTCTGTGTTTTATTTTAACTTTTTTATGGTGTTTAATTTGTGGTTGGCTGCAGTTGTGTATCATGTATATTGAACTTGTAAAAAAGTTCCTGACAGTTCAGATCTCAGACTTGGGATCACTCACTTATGAAACCACTTTCATTGCAATTTTTGTTCTGATTGCATTGAACTCTGGCACATCAGATACCATCACTAATATTTTGCATGTAATCTGTACTTTTAGTGGGGTTTTTTGTACATATGATGAGGCCAATGCACAGTATTTCATAGTTCACAATCAACATTTTTTGTATCCCTATTTCAGTGAACAGACAGTCAGGAGATTGTTCCACTACCAGTTCTAACCAGACACTTGTACTACGTTATCTTAACTATGTAAACTCAGCCTGGGCACTTTCTGGTAACTGTAAAATGTTTATAAGATCATGATTATTGAAGATACATTTTGGAAAACTTTAATGTTCGTGAGCAGCTTAACTTCTTTTGTATCTAGCCTTTTTTAAGTATCTTGTTACAGTTTTTTAATAAAGAAATTACAGACAAAATACCAAGTCATATTGAAGAAACAATAGTTTTTATTTATTTAGCCATTTATACTTTAGCTAACAGCATACACCAAATATAGTTGTTCATTAAAAATCTGAATTTTGTAACTGAAAAATTGACCTGCGGAAGACATTCAGCCCACATTTTACAGTTAGCAGAGAATCCTGAATGAAATGGGCCAGGCAACACCTTCTTTTCACAGAATTGGTTTGAAGGGAAAGTGGCTTGTTCTGAAAAACCTCAAGGTTATTAGGTTAGAATAAAAATTTAACTGCACTGTAGTGGGTTCTGCTGTATGTTCACTTTTGAAGTGGTTGGTTTGGGGAGGGCAGTCTTCGAACATAACCTAGAACTTGTTTTTCCTAATACTTGAGTGTTTTGGGGGTTTTTTGAGAGCTAGGAAGTGATTAATAAAGGAAGGAGTTACTTTTTTTTTTTCTCCTTTTTCTCCTGTGTCATAACAAAGGTCTGAAAGCTTAGTGGACTGAAGTATTGAAGGTTAATGGCTTTTGTGGTGGTGATGTTCTCTTTCTTCCTCTGCTTCTCTAGCCCTGTAAGTCCAAGTTAGTGATTGATGGGGAGAGCTAACGTAAGGTTCCATGAAAATCTGTGTGGAATTCAGCTCTGCCAAAGGTCTACTGGATTTTTAATTGAGCCAACTAATTGGGGATGTCCAGAATTTACCTATAACCGTGGGTTGTTTTATTTGTTTTTGGAGGAAAAAAAAAAAAGCCTCTGTTTTCATCATTTATTTAGTTGCCACAGGTATGCAGCACGGTTTAGGTCAGAAATTCTGATCGCCACTTGCCAAATTGATCCTGAAAACATTGTTTTCTAAATGAAGCTGACTGTTCCAGGCTTGTGTAGTTAAACTGCAGAGAAATCAAGTAAATGGATGTAGACTCATTTCTGCATGTACTGATACTTCCTGAATCAATCATTCTAGAAAAAGTTAGTTTTGATGTACGGGGATTGGAGTCTATTCTGGATTTACTGTTGTGACCTTCAGTGTATCTTAAGTTCAAAATTGTATCAGTTTTTATTATGCTATTATAAATTAAAAAAAAAAAAAGGCAGTACAGCTACACAAGTCTAGCTATAGCTGTATTAGGGTAGTGATTTATACTGGTATTTATAGCTGTTCTCATATTCTAAGGAGAATAGTGACAAAGGTACAAAGCAACATATACCTTTTGCCTGGATTTCTAACTGGTGTAATTATTTCCGTTACCAAAAAAGCCTCTTAACTGAAATGTGTAAAGTTAGTTTAAAGCAAAAAAATAAACTGTTTTAGAGTAGGCCTCAAATCTACATTTTGTAAAATAAAAGCTCCCTCCCTCACAAAGCTTTGTGAGACCTAATGATGTATTAAAAAAACTACCCAAGATCCTTGGATGAAAGGCCATATAAAAATGTAAAGTACTGTGTGTATATAAATATATATATATATGTATTGTGTGTATATGTATATAAGTGTATGTGTATGTATAACATATAAATATATGTTATATGTATATATATTTCTGTATATAGCTTAAACATTTTTTTAAATCCTGTAATGTATAGCTAGACAAAAATTATGCAGGTTAACTCACAGTAGCTCACCATATATACACACACAAGGCATTCTGATGACACAGGTGGAGAGGGAACCTAGAATGATTTATGCTGTCGTCATTGACTTGAAATGTGTATGTAGCTTTATAAATAGCTTTTTTCCTCTGTATGGTATATTTAAACTATATCAAGATTTTAATAAGAAAAATGTTTATTAAAATCATACACCTCATCTCCCTTTGACTTAAGCCCTTCTGTTAGTTCTTTTTTAAGATGTGGTAGAGAAACAAGTTACAGGAAAATTCCGTAATGTTTACATTTTTTTTATAGTCTAAGTCTTTAGCTGTTCATAATTGCTGAGATAGGAGATAAAGGTAGCTACTAATAAAATGTTATCACCAACATATCAGTTCCTATTGTGAATCTAGGAAAAAAGTGATACCATAGTGCTAACCTCCCATGGCTAATTCTTAACCTTGGTTTCTGGGACTTGGTTAACTGTATCCAACACAGCAGCTAAATTGCATGCTTCAGCTTTGTTACAGTTTTCCAGAAGTGAAAATTTGAATGGTGTTTTCTCATCAAGTGGTATTTTCCAGCTGTTTGGTTTGGGAGTTAGTCTTTTGGTTGTTAGATAACAATTTGGTTGGGGGGGAAGGGGGAGGGAAGGAAAATCTGTGAATCAAAAACAGTGCCCTTCTTGAACAACAACAGTCATTCAGAGAGGCATAAGAAATCACATTTTGCTAACTCTTTAACCTAAATTTATATGTAGATTACTGTTTTTTAAACGTTTACTTCAATGTATTCATCTAAAAACGAGTGCATAGCGAGCAGAAAGCAGGAAATTTTTGTTTGGTTGTCATGCAGGTGGGAGAAGCGTGGGAGTCGCCAACGCAGCTCCTGTTGCCGTTGTGCTTCGCTCGGTACGCGTTTTTGAGGCCTCTTTCCCAATACCTCTTTGGTGCCATCTTTCACGCCATGTGAAAGATACTTCTGTAGTTGTTACATAATAACAACTTCCACGGAGGAAGCTTACCTGCTCTTCTGACTCCCTTTTTATAAGGTCCTCATAGCCTGTGTATCAGGTCTCTTGTGTATGGATCTGTGTAAACGCCATCTCTAACTGCCTCTGTACTCCTCGCTTCACTGACTTTTCCTCTGGCTTCCTGTCTCTTGGCTAGGCTACAGATCTCTAACTTCCTAGGGTTGTTTTTTTTTTTTCTCCTTCGTCTTTTCAGACTTTGTATAACTTGACCTTTTTCTGAACTTTTTGGTTTTCCTAATCCTTTTTTTAGCAGTGGGTCTGCCAAAATCAAATATAAAATCTTGCAAATCCAAACCCACTAGATTTCAGTGTGTGGCGTTCATTTATCCCTAAGTCTGAATGTTCACGCACAAATTGAAATCTGTACGGAAATTGGTCATATGAAAGCTTCAGTGACAGTCTTGAGCTCGCACTGCTGAAAACTGCCGTGGCCTGCGTGGAAAGGACACTGCTATGCTCTGCAACGGAAATCTGCGTTTGTTCGAAAGCTAACTTGCATCACGTTGCAGTCATTGCCCGCAGGAGTTCCTAGCCTCACCAGAGCATTGACGTCTCCTTTCCTTGCTGGAAATTGCTTTCGTTGCTTTAATTTGCAACTTTGGGTATTTTATCATTGAACGGATTTGCTGAACTGAGAAGCACAGAAGGCATTAGCGGGGTTTTGTTTTGGGGTTTTTGTTTTTGTTTTAAACAAGACAGCAAAGTACTCTCTTGAAACAAACCTGTAAGTGAGATTCTTCCCCCCCCCACCGCCCCCTCTTTTCTCCATGGTTTAAAACTGGTATTAAGCACTTGTCTCACAGACTGTGATAGTTCAGTATTTCACATGTGTCGATGTCTCTGGGAAACTGCAGTAGAACTGCAAAGGTTTTTTTCCTTAGTATAATGTTAATTTTTTGCATTAAACATCACCAGTTACTATTATAGTAATACAGTGTTCAGTAAATTGGAATCGATTGGTTGCTATCAAATGTTTCAGATTTTTTTTCCCCATAACAGTGAAACTTTCAGTATGCTTCATCCAGTGACAGCTACAGCTAACATGTGTGGGTATGTTTGAGTATCATAGTCATATGAACTTATTAGAATAATAGGTTGCTGCCATAACTATTACAGTTTCACTGCAAGGAAGTACTTGCTTTGGCCATGCTGAAATTATTCACAAATTAATTTGCACATAGTGAATAGTTTTAAGCTGAAAAAGCAGCTATATCATTTTATAAGTGAAAATGAGTTAACGTCAAACAGTGTTTTTCATATAAAAATTGATCTTTAGTAAAGCATTTTTAAAAAGGGGACTAAGTATTCCCAAAATAAATAATATCTTTTGAAGGTGAGGGAAGAGGTATTACAGTTCAAGCTGTAATGACTGCATTTTGGATGTCTCGATAGATAAGTTCTGGGGTGAACTGTGAATCAGTGCTTTTGAGTAATTTTTTTTTAACCTTGCTGTGAAAGAATGTTCAAGAAATTTTAGTTGCTGTTGCATTTTTTTTAATTGCTTTTGTTATTTTCAGAACTACTACATATAAAATGAATTTGCAGATTGTTCTTATTCATGTATTTCCAAAGGAGAAGGTGGGCAGGCTTTTTCTTATTTTATACATACACACGTGAGTGTGTACATATGTATGTGTATATATACATATATGTATATATGTTAAAGCTGGACAAAACTGCTCTGTTGAACAGACCAAGCTTCAGGGATACCAAGCAGTGCTGAGAAGCAGCCAGTAAGGTCTAGCTCTCTCTTGCAATGTACTCAATGCCTGGGCTACTGCTGCCCTTACTCTTGTGCCTGCCAGTAAACTATGGGAGCTGCTGCGAAGCCAGCGGCAGCCCAAGGGCAGTGCGCTCTGGCAGCAGGCTTGCAGCCCAGCCTTCGCCCTCCCCTGCTCTGGAGCTCAGTGCAACACTGCCTGGCGCTCAGCTCCCAGGGCGTCTGTCCCCGAGTTGGCCCAGGCCATGCAGGAATACCTGAGCCTCCCCCAGCTCCTGGGGCATATGTCCCGCTGCAGGAGCGCAGGGTCGCTCCCCCTGGGATGGAGTGGGTCAGCCGCTGAACCACCACGCGGCTGGGAGCCTTATAGATCAAAGACAGCTTTTGCCCTCCCCCTCGGAGCTTGTTTTAAATATTGTAGTACAGGTACAGTTGAGTAATCTTATGTCCTACAAAGCTATGCATAGTGCTGTATTTCGTGTGTATTTTATTTTGCCTGTAAACTACCTCTTTTAAAATTCTGCAACTGCTTTTCCATATTTCAGTATCATGTTTGTTGTGTAATTAAGGCGTATAAAACAAAGGTAGCAGAAGTTAGCAGATTTTTGTTGGAGGTGCGAGAACATCCAGCTGCAGTTTTGTTGATCCTTCCATCTTTCATGATACGTTTACTTTGTGGTACTCTTCCTCTATATATTATAGAATACCATTAAACTAGGCACTAGATGAATAGTCTCCTACTGTGCATCTGTAAATGGGAAAGTGTGTTTTTAAGAAGCTATCCCAAAATACTTGGAAGTCCATTCAATTGTTAATTATATTCGCTTATGGTAGTTCTTACATCGTGACAAATACTCGAAAGGATAATCCCTTGTTTAGAGAATTTTGAACCAGCCGCCAGATTAATCAAGTTAGAAGCAGGGGATTAAGACAGTTGATAAGCAGGTCAATTTTATTAAATAGTGTGATTAATATACTTCAGAGTTGTAGGGTTTTTTTGGTTTTATTTTTAAGGGGGTGATTGATGTATGAGCTACTGGGCCATCAGCACACTCTAGCTTGTATGCACCAGAGTAATCTGTCAGTGCTAATGGGTCCATTGGGTT